TAAAAGGACTTATATCAGAATTTCCATTTACTTTAGTTCCCTAAATTTTATCCATAAGCAGATCTTCTATAACAGGCCCTGTATGTGGGTTGTATATGCGCTGAAGGAGTGTGTGTGCACAGATACCCACATAGGCACATCTACAACTATTGTTAAACATCGAAAGTTACGTCCTGGATTTTTATTTTCTTACTATCACCATACTTCATCATCTTAAAGTAACATGGTTAACGGAAGAATTAACAAGAATTAACACTGATCAAACCCATTTACTGAGCTTTGGACATCTTTTAAGAAGGCAAGAAGAATAGTAAGCAAACCACTCTTATTACTAGATTGTAAGGTGTCTCCCATGAACAATAGTTTTCCTGAGTTAGGACAGTAGATTAACTTCTCCCTCTACAACAAGAGGATGAAAGCAATGAGCCTCAGTGGACCGAACAACCCCACTGAAAGGAGTGTGCAGGTTAATTTACAGAGAGAACTCCTGGGTACAGAGGCCATGGTCTTCTTCCTTGATGGCTCTGCCTGTGTAATGATAATGTCATTCAATAGATTGCTGGATTGTGAAATTCACAGTTTAAATGTGCTTAAGTTTTAATGATGACATCCTAATTTCTGCAAATTGAAAATATAATGTCCATTTGTATCTTTTCATTAGAAATTGTTCCTCAGTCAACAAAAATGCATTGTGTTTCTTATCTTCTTCAAGGAAAACATCCATGTCTGCTTTTAAATCAATTACTGATATAAAAAGATGATTTTCTTTTTTCATAAACTCTATCAGAAAATTCTGACCTCATTGATGATCCTAAAAGGACAGATCATTCAAGTCCTATTTCTGTCAGCCTAGTTATAAATAAACCAACCCACAACGCAGGCATCAGAGTAGTTTCTTTCTGGTAGCAATACACTGCTTTTTTTTTTCTTTTATTATATGCTCTATGATTCCTCTTTCCTGATGCTAATAGTAAATGCTGAAATATTCTATGTAAGTGGTTGTTGAGCTGGAAAAAGAAAGAAACTCTTAATGGAAGTATTTATACCTTCAGCAATGAAAACAAGATATTATTGTCTTGCATGACCTTTCCTAAGTACAGGATACAGCATTTTACACAATAGTTTCTTGGTTCATGCTTCAATTACTGACCTTTACTGTGTAGAAAATTAATGCAATTTTCATTGTAATCCATCCGTACAAATAAGGTCCACACGGAAGGATTCCACATATGGAATCTAATACAAATAGGAAATGTCAACTGATTGCTGTTGGCTGAACTTAGCCATTATCTGTTTGTTCTGGGGTCCCTTGCAAACTACACTTGCAACAAGCAATTTCTTACATGGGCCATCAGGTATAAGAAAGGAGGATTTCCTCTCTTTAAAGTTTAGCTTGTATGCTTCACTTCCTGAAAGCCAAAAATCGAGTTACCTGAAACTTCTATGCTCTCATTGAAAGTTCGCGAAAGAAAAGGCAAAATTGTCCAGTCTAATGTGGTTTCTAATACAGATCACCATCAAGCACTTTTAACAATAAGAAGGAGCAAGAGGCTACAGTGATGTCATTTTGCAACAATCCCTATTCCAGACAATAAAAGTATGACAGACCCCAGACCATGTCCTGGTCTGTGCATCCAAGACAGGCAGAAGATGAGAGTGCATTCATCTCCTGAGGAAGTTGGGCCAAGGGGCCCAGGCAGCCTTTCATCTTTCACAGTCATCTGTGACGGTATGTGGTGGGAAGGGGTGCTGGTAATTAAGGAGTGTCACTTTTAAGATGGATGGTTTGGGTAGAAAGAAGTTTCTCCACTCTTCTGGTTCTGTAAGAAATGGCTGTGTGTTTATAATTTGTAAACAGTTCCTCTTGGCATGGGTGTGTTACAGTTCCCAGAAGCACAGTCTGTCACATCTAACACACAACAGAAGCCAGAAGGGCTCAGTGGGGAAGACCTCTCTGACAGTCCACTGTGGTGGGGAGTCGCCTAGTCACTGTGTATCCATGTCTACGATGAACACATGTCAGTGGTGGAGGCTGCTGTACGTGGAGAAGTGACTCTTTGCACACCCGCAGGATGTGCACTTGAGGAGCCTCCATGTTGAATACCCCTTTAGTTCAACAGATTTACAAGAGAAGGTATAGTGAAAAGAAATGAACAAGGACTAGGAAGCCTGCTGTTCTCCCCAGCTATTATTGAAAGGTATGTTAAGCAGAAGAGGCATAAACAGAGGTTGAATTATTTTACACTCATTCTTTAGAGGATTTTATAGAAATATAAAGCTGAAGAAGTAAAACTGCCATGGTTTTGCATTACCTATTAAAAGGCCCTATTTGAGCCAGGTGCATGCCCGTAATCCCAGCAGCTCAGGAGACTGAGGCAGGAGGATCTCAAGTTCAAAGTCAGACTCAGCAACTTAGCAAGGCCCTAAGCAACTCAGTGAGACCTTGTCTCTAAATAAAAAGGGCTGCAGCTATGGCTCAGTGATTGAGTGCTCCTAATTCAATTCTCAGTACCAAAAAAAAAAAAGGCACTATTGAAATACTATAATAAAAACATGTCAAGAATGAAATTGCCCTGGAGAGAGTGAGGAGAGCCCTGCTGCCACCCCTTTCACCATGGGACAAGTTGATGCTACTGTCATGAGCAGGGCCATGCTGGGATGGATGAACCCATGCCAGGGTGCTGCCATTCACACTCTCCCCTCTGTCATCCTTGCCCAGAAAAACTTGAAGCACATTCACATAGCTCTGACTGCAAACATCCAGGTAGTCTGAGGCAACTCAGTGGAAGATTAGACCTTGACAACCAATAATCTACACTTCATGGCCTAATTTTGTTGCTTGCCCTTTGCCAAACAATACTTTTCCATTCCTAGTCTTCTTGTTGGAAGCTCTTCTGCTTCAGACGGTCCAAAGACATCTGGTCCAAATGATCTCTAAAGGGTGGGCAGGCAGGGCCTTCTTCCTGGGGTGGCTCATTTAAATAGACTTGGTCAAATAGAAAAAAATTTTTTTCCTCTCTTTTGAGCTTTGGTTTATGAAAATTTAGAATTTTGCCTAGTGTGATATTGTGATATAATAAGAAATATATATTTGGTATTTGTTCCTGGCTCCTGGCCAGAGCTCCTAAAACTCTTGGAACTGCCTAAGTGATAAGAGTGGTAGGAGTATGTTTTGTTATATTTGGTTTTGTCTCCAGGTCCTGAAATAGCTGCAGATGTAGAAAGGTGAAAGGAGAATTTTTTTGTTGTTCATTAAAAAAAAAAAATGTCTATCCCACCTAAGTTTAAGTTAACATGACAACATGTTTAAAAATCCCCTAAGGATGGGAGCTGGTTGCTAGAGGAATCCACCATGTGATTGGAGGATTGGAACTCAAAGGCCCACCTTTCCCAGACCACCTAGCCTCCAGAAAGAGGGGAAGAACTGGACATGGACTTAATTACAGTGATCAGTGATTTAATCATCCATATCCATGCTGACTTAAGGAAGCCTCCAGAAAAACAACCACTAAAGTAAAAAACAAAAACAAACAAAAAAAAACTATGTCAGGAGGCTTCTGTGCTGTTGAATATGTGCAGGAGCCAGGATCATGCAGTGCCTAGAGAGGGCAAAGAAGGACCACACCCCAGCCCCAATCTTCCTCTGTATGTCTCTTCCAATTAGCTGTTCCTGAGTTGCATCTTTTACCACAAACCAGAAGTGTAAGTAAATGTTTTCTTGCATTTTATGAGCTATTCTAGCAAATTTTTAAACCCAAGGGAGGGGCTGAACCCATAATTCATAGCTGGCTGGTAGAAAAACTGTAAGCCCAGACTTGCAACTGGTACAGTGTATAGGTTTATAACTAATTCATTAATACTGGTTATTTTCTTTCACCAAACATCCCTTATGCATTTTAGCCAGGCAACTAATATTCAATAATGGTCACATGGTAAACCCTCCCATCAATGCATCAAGATAAAAGGTGAATCTGTGGGACCTCTAACCTGAAAAAGGAGGATTTCCTTTTTATAAATATTATACTTTATTATTTTGCTATTAACGATCTTCTTAGCACAACAAATACAACTTACTTTGTAACCCACCCCATTTGCCTTAAATGGGCGAAACCATCTGGTCCACTCAATTAATTTTCAGACTCTTTGTATCATGGAGCCAGTATCTTTGAATTAATTTCTATTCAATGGGCATTTATATTGCACACTTACTCTTCAGGTTCTCCCTTTTGCCCTTTCCTCTCCCAGAAGCCTCCTCCATTCTACCATCCCTGGCCCCATATACCCACAGGTTTTAGGGGACTGGAAGTCCATTAAGCTTGAAGCATCTCATTTGGCACTTCCCTTTTTTCATTTTATTCCAGAAGGTTTGTCTGAAAGTGTAATGACAACAAAAGCAGCAGATTTGAGAGATTCTCCCAGGAGAAGTAAAAGGACAGATGTACACAGACATATAGCTGAAAACGCTGCCAGCAACAGCTGGGAAACTGACAGGCTCGGAAGTGGGTGACCACCCCACAGCGCGCCGACGTGAACCTAAAGGAGCAGCAATTTCACTTGATTTCCTTTTGACTTCCCAGGCTACCTTTTATCTACAAAGGGGAGGGCTAACCTTGGCTTTCATCCAGAGAGCAGACTCCGATCGGTATGCTGTTTAGAACATTTTAGCTATTCCTAACGTTATATCCCCATTGAATCTTATTATGTGAAATCTTAGAGCCCAAATATCGCACTATACCCATAAAGGTGTACAAATATTACCTGTCAATTTGCAAGACAGGAAAGGCAACAGCTACTCCTAATCCATTTGGGTAAAGAGTCAAATAGAGGATTGTAACTGTTCCATTTTTAATACAGGAGATCCTGGGTTTTTTAAAAAAACATTTTAATATTATTGTATCATTTAATTTATAGTATTATAGAACCAAAAAGATGCAACCTGGCGGGGCAAATCTGCTGCCCCCATTCATGTCCCTGTCCAGCTGTTTCCTTAGAAGACTCACCCTCTCTTCCTCCTCTTCCTCCTCCTCCACGTCTGTGCTCTCCTGAAACAAAACCCCACAATTTGTTAATTAAGCCTCAACCATAATCATCCAAAGAAACTCAATTGCATACACATTTTAAATTTTGTCTACAGAATTCAAACATTAGTATTTTTAAAATTTATTACTAAAGTCTTGAAAATGACATTTTAAAAACTGAGGGACACCACAGCAAGACCACAAATGATAGGCATCACCATCTCCATAGAACAATTGTTTTTTAAAAAAAAGCTACAAGGAGAGTGCCCTTTGAAGGCATCCAGCTTCACAAATACATTGCTGACTTTCACTCTTCTGTAAACAGTTTCGTTCTCATTCTGACAAATGAACCAACTGCTCTGTTAAGGCTGAGAATACCGTATTCCGTTTGTGCTGGGCTCATGGTTGTAAGGACTCCTTTTTCCCTTTGGGGTCATTACTGAAACATTAGACAGTAGAAAATGCATTTGTCTGAATATAATACATCTTAAGGGTGAGTTACAGTTTCTATGTGGCTTTATTGTTTTCCTTGGGCTCCGAGGTTGGGAGAAGCAGGTGAGGGAAGAAAACCCAGGGCTCTGGTGTGGACTCGTCCACTTCAGCTCAGGTGCAAAATACGGTGCTGCCAATGGGCCCATTCAGATCTCTTTGGGAGTCTTGGCTATTTAATAGGTGAATTTTTAATCATATTAATACAGTATCTAAAAACACACATAAATGCATACATAATCAAATGAATTAAACAGTTCAGAAAGAAATGCTCAGTATTAACCAACTAATAATTAATATTAGGGTCAATTTTCTGCTTGAACACTTACCTGGTTGCTTAACTGTGCAAAGGTCAGGTGTACTATTTAGTATCACTCCAGCAGTTCAAAAAATAGTCAGTAGTATGCTAAGTTAAATAATTAGATCCAGAGTACTCTGCTATAGTACACAAAACCACTGAGTGGTCATCAAGAACTTTCTCCAGAGCTGGTACAGAATTCTCATGATCTTCAGCTGGCAGTATGGGACATTCACTGACCCTCTCAGGACCTGACCTGTTTACCATTGGCAGTAAACATGTTTCATGCACGCTGATAGATAAGTAAGAATGCTATGAAACTGGGTTATGAGAGGGAAAAGCGAGCGTAATTTGGGAAGTTGTAAGTCTTCAGCTTGAGTCACTGTCTAGCACATTTTCGCTCTGTGACTTTAGGGAAATTGTTTTGCCACTCTGAACTGTAGTTTCAGCAAGCATAAAATGAAAAGAGTACCTCTTCCACCCTTATGCTTTACTATACAGATCAATGAATTTGAATGTTTTATATACAGAAAAGGCATTATATACACACTTAGATTCATACATATGCAAGTTTATTTACACACATGCATATGTACACACATGCACATATAGATACTACAAACACACATCATGCATGTTGTGGGCCAAATGAAATCTGATTAAACATTTTAAAAGTGTCAGTTGATCACATTTGTTATGACAGATGTTTTTCTGTTAATTTCCCTCATTTATATACCTCAGTAAAACACTTTCAATGGATCTAAACTTTAAACCCATTTATTTATTTGGTTTCATTATCTTATTGTTATAAATCTTACTGTTATAAATCTATTGCATTAAATAATCAAAAATGAACAGAAAAGAATTTTGAAAGTGCCTGAGGTTTTACCTCTTACTACAATATTCATTTTCTCCACCTTCCCTGCATCCTAAATGAAACCAGAAATATCCCATAAACGTTCATGGTTTCAAAGACAAATTTTTTAAGTGAGAACGTAAGAAAACATATGTAACAATGGTTAGCTTTGAGTCTTGGGAAACCCCAGGTATAAGTAATCACTTTCTAAAGGAAATGATCAAGTTGAAAACTTTGGGTTTCTGTTTTTTAAACCTGGTTCTCCATCAAGGAATAGCAAAATTCATCCTAAAGCTAGGCTATAAATACAAGTTTCTGCACACTGGAGCACAAAAATATTCTTTGGGACTAGATGAGGGGAGCTGAGGCAGGAGAGTCAGAAAGGAAGCAAGATATGTACATGCTAAAGGGATGCCCAGGAGAAGAGCCCTTGTCTGGTCTTCCTTCTACATGACAGAAAATGAGAGAATTACAAAAAAAAAAAAAAAAATTAAATAAAAACTAATTTGGTCACCTGAGAACAGAAGAATCTACGTCCACCTGCTTTTACTCTGATTGCCCTGGGAGTTGACAAGCTTCAGAGAATCCTCTGATTCTTCTGACCAAAGGAGAACATTGTGTGGGCTGCCCATATGGAAAGGTCTGAGTCAGCTCCCTGGAGTGTCCCACAAGACCTGGAGGGGGTCAGGAATCCACCAAAGGTTTTTCTCTAGTGGTGGAGGAAATTGTTCACAGGAACCTTATGGCGAACTGGATGGGTGCACGCAAGTACTGCCCACGTGAAAAAAAAGACCAGCAACAACAGGGCTCCAGTCATGCAGAGGTTGTAGGCTGAGACAGGAAACACAGTTAACACAGCTGACACCGAGGGAAGACAAAGACCTCCATTGCGAAACAGGTATGTGTGCAGGGATGCTCCCCAGGTCCCAACCAAAACAGATTCCGGGAGTGATTCGGTGGTAGTTGTTGTTTCCTATTGTGAGCACATTTTCCACAAATCACGAGCCAGAACTATGTCCATTTTTGCTCACCTGGCTGTCGTGCATGCAGCTCATTTTGCCTTTCATGGGTCCGATGAAATTGTAGACAAAGAGCAACAATAATGCCAGGGGGATCATGTACAGTTCAAAATTCCAGACTGTGACCAAAAATACCTGATAGGGAGACAAAGAACACAGGGTGACTGATAAAACAGTAGGAGCATAATCTTAAATCCTTACTCATTGACTTACAATTAAACAATCTAGGAACATAAACAGGTGTAAACATACACAAGTTCACATGCAATTAACTCAGTTTTAGAAATAGTAGCAGAATAAGAGCGCAGAATGACTTGGCCAGTGAAAACACTGAAACAGACAAATACAGGGACCTCACCCTATTCTATATTTTGGCACCTAGATTTTAAAGTGCCTGAATTTAGGGAAAACAGTCTGGAAAAATCCAAGGTCACAAAAAGGCAGGCCATGGAACACATTCTACCAACAGTGAAAAATTTATTTGACTAGAGAAATCAATTACTTCCGAAATCCATCCCAAATATTTACAAATCCAAGTATTTCAGACAAAATCTTCAGATTTCCAAATATTCATTAAAATTCTGCTGATTTGGGAACTGTAGGGTTACAGGAAAATTACTAGTTAACACTGTCTAGATCAGACAAAGCACACACTGACATGCCCAAGTTCAATCAACTTATGGAATTCACATCCTCTACTGCAGAAGAAAAAGGGGGGTTTGAACACAAGGGCCAGTGCTTCAGTGAATGCAAGAGCATGGATGCAGACAGGAAGAGCTCTGCCTCCAAGGAACACACTAATCAGGATGAACAGACTAGAACACCTGATGAGTGTCACAGGCAGCAGCAGTGAAATCCTGGGCAAGTTACTTCCAAACTTGAGCCTCACTTTCTTTTTTAAACTCACAGGTAATCTAGTTGATGAGATAAGATAATTATTTTTATGAGCAGCCAGCAAGAAAAACTCACTTTGTGACCTATTAACTTAGAAAGGACAAGTTACTGCCTCTTAAATATTAAATCTCCCCTTCCAATAATAATATGGTTTTATTGCTGGATGCTTTTCTAACTTTTAAAAGAATTATTTTTATGTAGCTATTATATATTTCTTGCTTGTTTTATTTTTGGAGGCTAGGTAAATAAAATCATTTCTTTCATAATATTTTTTGAAACTAGCCATGGTTAGCATATATAAGGTAATAATTTGAATAAATTAGTTTTTTTTTTAGATTTGCCCCCTTGCTAAGTTTTCTTTATTGTTTCAAATGGCTTTCTATTTCATTCTTCTGGGGGTTTCTAAGATTATAGTCACAAACTATTGGACCAATATGGAATCTTTTCTGTTTTTACTAATATTCAAAACTTAATTTTTTCTTGTTTAAACTCATTATTCCTACAAAACAATGTCAAAACTGCTGAGAAGGATGTTATTGTGTGATTCCTAACTGTAATGAAAATTCTTCTAGTGTCTCATTTTTCTATTAAACATGAGGTTGGCTTCAGTTTGAATTATGTAAGTCATATCACATTAACAATACAAATACATACAATTAGTACCAGAAAATTCACACAACAGTATTGATTTTACTACTCTTTATCTCTTTTAGCTATTTTTAAAAATACTCTTTTGTATCCATCCCAAACTTAATGAAAACATTTCTTTAAGTAGGAATACTTGTATCAGTTCTAGCCAGGGCTTATTTCACTATTATTATTTTCAAAATCAGGAATAGATGGTGGTTGTTCAACTGTTTTATTTTTATGTCTTCTGAAAGAAGGAGGATTTTTACTTTTCATTTTAATACAATATAATGTATTCATTATAATGTTGAAGCCACTCTCATATTTTTTGGGGGAAACCCATTCTTTACTGGGGTATGACAGTCTTTTAACACACGGTGTATCTTATTTAATAATGCTCAAAATATTTTTCATATATACCTATGATTTTCATTTATCTATTACTTTATCTTTGTATTAAATCTAAGTTTTAGTGCTAGGATTATTTGTACATTGTATAAAATTTCAGTCTATCCTTTCTCTATGCTACAGATAATATTTGTTATTATATTGCAAGATTAAAAAATGCAAACTATTTAATACCACCCCTGCATTAACACTTACTACTGTGCTTGCTGTCATCATTTACTTATTATTCTTCCTTAAAAAAATGTCAAATACTTGGCTCCTAACTAACCTGGTCTTCTCATCCACGAACATGACATTTCTTAAAATTTATAAATCTATAAACAATATCAAAACATTCATATCAATTTAAAAGTAACTGTTTTATAGCTGTGTTGATGGTATATACATAAGTCAAGTACATTATATTTAACTGATACAGTTCCCCATTCAAATGAGTGTTATGAATTTCATATATGTATGCTCTCTTATCTATAGATTGAAACTTTTATCTAGTCAAACACGTTAACTTCAAGACTGGCACCTTCAATGTTCTGTACTCTACTTAAGGAATGCTATTTGACCTTAAGATGATAAAGCTTTCTGTTGTGTCTTCTTCTAAAAGATAAAGTGCATGTGATCTTTCTTCAATTTTCCTTCTTATAATTAGAATCAAGCATCCAATTTAAAGTTTTTTTTTACTCCTAGTCAACTTTTACAACTAACTTCCTTATAATGACCCATACATTTTTCACTGATCTACATTGTCATTTCTGCACAGGATAGCTGAAGAAGTCTTAATAGCTATGTCAGCATGAAATAGTTTAAGAAAACCATTTGAGAAAACATTTTAACAAATATAACAGGAAATCTATACTTACATATCCCTCTGTGGAGCATGACTTTTCATTTAGATCAAATGACTGTTCTTCTACATTAATTTGTCTTCTTTAGCATGACTTCACTCCTGCGTATTCCCTCCCTCACCCCATCCCAAGTAGTCTCATATCTTTCTGTACTAGTTCACCCTCCAGCATAAAATTCATTATTCGTCTTTCTTTTGACCCTTATTTGCTAAGCACTGACTGTGGACCATATCAATTTGGACAAGAGTGAAGAAGAAAAAAAAAGAAAGAAATATAAAAACACACAAAAACCAGACTTCATGGAGCTTATATTGAGATTTGGGATAATACATATAGAATAACTAGGTAAGCTACATATTTTATATCAGGTGATAAAAAGAGCTACCATGAAACAAAATGAAATCAAACAAAAACAAAAGTAAAAGGACATGGATACCACCCACTGGGGCCGATTCTACAATTATAAGCAGGTGGTCAGGGAAGGCCTTGCTTGAAGGGTGACATGAGAGCCAAGCCCTTGGTGGAAGTGTGTGTGTCAGGTGAAGGGTGTTTCCAGCTAGAAGTAACAGCAAGCACCAAGGCTGGGAAGTGGAAGGATGCCATTTTCTTTCTAGAATGTTCAAGGAACAGCAAGGAACCCTTGTGTCTGAAGCGAAAGACACAATGCAAACTTCGATTGAGAATGTTATGAGCACAATAATAACGTGATCTGACTTGTATCTAAGAAGGAACACTGCATGAGGAGGAAAAACTAAAAATAAATTTTATGAACAAATATTTTAATGACCCATTTTAATGAGTTGATTGTAGCTTAGAACCACAATAATGGCAAGAAAATTGATAAGAAGTGGTCATGTCAATTGTTGATAAAGTAGGGCCCAGATGACATGCAGATCGTTTGGATGAGAAGATTTTTTTAAAAATGGAATGTGTGAGAATACCAAGGTGTGGGGCCTCAAAAGTTGTAAGAATGGATCTATTCATTAGTAGAGAAAGTCTGAGGAAGAGTGAGTTTAAGGAGAGGGATGGGAGGTGTCCCTATGAAAACAAAGATGACACAGGATGCATGGTTTGGAGCTCAGGCTAGAGGCTAGGGCTAGAGACAAAAATTTATGTATTATCAGTATCCAGAAAGTATTTAAAGACATCAGATTGAAAAATCTTAGGAAGCAAGCAAGCAACTATAGAGAGAAATGGCCTAGGAGTGATCCTTGGTCCAAATTTAGAGATTGAAAATACCAGAAGGGATCAGAGAAAGATGCTGAGGAGCAGCCAGAGAGAGGGGGATACAGGAGGAGATGGTGGTGTTCTGGAAATCAAATATAGTAGTTTAAAAAACCAACGTATTTCTCTGAGTAAGATGATCCCTGACTCAATATTAAGGGATAATACTGAGAAATGCAGTAAGGACTCTGCCAAAGAGTTTGTTATAAAGGAGAGCAAAAAAAGCAAAAAAAAAAAAAAAGTGCCTGCAAGAGAATGAAGCAATGTTCTAGGAAAGAGAGGGACAGAAGAGCAAAAAAAAAAAAAAAAAAAAAAAAAAAAGGTAGACAAAGAGAGAAAAGACAAAGGGAGAAAAAATTGGAGAAGGAGGGAGTTAGGAAGGAAAAATGATTTGGAAGAAAGAAGAAAATCATTGGGACAATATTCTTAAAACAGTAAAAAACAATGGGACCCCAGCAGAAAGTTATAAGTTTGGTCTCAACAACAAATCAGATCATCCACAGTTAAGAGGGAAAGCAGAGGACTCCAGCAGAGAGGATGATGAGGGATAGAGAAGGAGCCAGTAGGGTAGCAGGGGGTCATTTATGTCAATCTTGGTCATTGAGAGTGGAGATGAGAGAAGATATTAAGTTTGAGAGGAAAAGAGAAGCAACAAAATAGTCCAGAAAAGTAGAAAGATTATTGTAGAAATGTAATAGAACTGTCAGGGGCATTAAATATGGTTTTCTAGATCCATGCTTACCTAAGATTTTGCTAATTTAATATGTGCTAAATTATTGGACAGGAGCGTCGTAAAGGAAAGGGGATAAATTTAAACACACAGGATGTACAAATTGATAGAAACTAAAGGAAATTGAACAGAAAATTAGCAAATTGAGAGAGAATTCCAAAGAAATGATTCAGAATGCAGACAAGAGACAAAAAGATATATGAGAGGTCAAGAGACATGGAAGACAGAAACGGGGTGTTCTAATTTATGTTTTATAAGGGTTCAGGGTGGGGATAGACTATTCATGTGAGAAAGAGGGAAAAACATTACATAAAAATAAAATGCTCTAAAATTTCTGATAAATGTTGAAAGACACTAATAAAGGAAGCTCTCCCCCACTTAATACTATCCTTATTAGGATAAATAAAGAC